TACGTATAAGAAGGAGGCGTCTGCATAACGCTGTGCTTTCCCTAGCAGCCACCGAGCATCATGTCAAAATGTGTTTTTCAGTAAATTCCAGGTGAACACAACACAGTGTTTGCTTTTATGACACCACGTTGCACTTAGAATTGACTAAATGCACATGCACAATCTTTTATTACAAAATTAAAATGTTTAGAAGTGAGCTGCAATGAAAACAATCCTTAGATCCAACAGCTGGAATAACGGCCTCTTTGTCTGAAATTATACCAGTTTGTGAGTGTTGAATGCAAAGTATTCATACAGGCACGTTCAGAGTTAACGATGACAACAATACGAGATTAATTAAATACTACGTCAGATATTCAGGCAGTTGTGCATTTCCGTGTTGTGTGCTATGTGTTGTTCTCTTTATGTGCTGCTGTTTTCTCCTGACAGAGATAAAGATGTTTTTATGCATCATGTAACGGTGAATGAGTTGCTTCTCACGCTGTAATCATTTTGTGACACACAGCTGCAGGAAACGAGTTTTATGATCAGGTACAGATTTATTAAAAACAAAGTAAAAGTATTTTAAAAAAGGATTTTAAATGAGACACACAGCTCTGAAATGAACAGAGGATGTGTCATTTTCCTCCCTGTACACAAACACAATCCTCTCCGTGTGGACAAACCCACGACTTTGATCTAAAAACTACTTTTTACTGCATATAAAATGTACAATTCTTTGTCTTATTTTTGTCAGTTTCAAACCGTACATGAGGGGGTTGACAATTGGTGGAATGACGAGGAACTCCATCGCCATGAAATTCTGAATGCCTTGTGATAAGCTTTTTCTGCCAAAACGCATGTATAACAAATCAAAAAGCAAAGATCCAACAACAACTATCAGACTGAACAAAGGCGGTACGCATGTCTGCATGAATTTCTTTCTGTTCTCTCTGGAGGTTTTGCATGTTCTGATCAGGTGCACATAAGACCAAACAACAAACACCACGTGGCTGAAGTAAAACGTGTAGTTAAATGCTGGAATAATGACTTTAGCTATGGAGACAGTGCAAGCGAGGTTAGAAATCAGCCAGTTAACACAGTAAATCTTGGGTATGTGTGAGCTACACAGCCTCGATGCTGACGTCGTTATCGTGCTCATGAACAGCAAGTAAAAGGGAACAAGCCACGCCAGAAACACCAAGACGCAGATTCTCTGTTTGGTCATCACAGTGTGATACACCAGAGGTCGACATATCGCCACGTATCTGTCGTAGGACATCAGAGCGAGGAGAGAAAAGTCAGCACAAGCCGCAGAGTGCAGCACAAAACCCTGCAGAAGGCATCCAGCGACAGAGATGACGTGAGTGGTAGACAGCAGGTCGAAAAGGAATTTGGGGTAAAAACCGGCAGTCCCGTAAAGTCCATTGATGCACAGGTTACAGAGGAAGACGTACATGGGTTCATGAAGGCTTTTATCCACGATGATGGTCACAATAATGGTCACGTTCACCAGACAGATCACACAGTAACACAGAAAGGTGAGAGCAAAGAGGGTGACTCTGTAGTTGACTGTTCCGCTTAACCCCGACAGAGTTAACATGTTAATGACTGAAACATTATCCATCACAGAATACTACTTTACCAACTCTCAGATGCCACTGGAATACCGCACAGATAGAAAACTGCATCCGTACAACCTAATGTGGGTGAGGGGAGAGAAAAACCCCTGCTCTGTGGCTTCCCGTCCCTCACAGGGTGTGCTGACACCAGTTTATATCCTCTGGTGGCAGGAACGCTGAGTGATGCTGCCGACGTGCAGCCAATCAGCGATGTGGGATTTGCCTTTGACAGAGTCAGTCAAAGGAGTCTTATTTGATTTGCTTTTGAATTTAGAAAGCAGCTTATTGTCCTTCATCAGAATTGCTGAAATCTGGGACGCTGCCATAGCGTAGTCCAATAGAGCGATGGGTTAGATCAGGGGTGTCCAATCCTGGTCCTGGAGGGCCACAGTCCTGCATG